GCTGGGATTTCCGTTTCCACTGACCGGAAAGAAAGAGGAAAACGAAGAAAAGAATTAAATAATGTAACGACATGTAAGGAATAAGAGGTAATGATGAGCTAATGAAAAAGAAAAAAAATAGCAAGAAAAACATGTAAACAGAGAAGAATGCGAAAAAGCTGATTCACTAAGTTCGGCTTCGTTTAACGCAGTGGTCGACAAATTGCCACATTCTATTTGTTAATAATCGTAGTCCCGGGTTCAAATTCACTTTTCCTACTATTCAGGTAAATATATTTATATAATGGTATGCTGAAGTTTCAAAAAAGAAAAGATTTTCATATAATTTCTTTTGTAAAATTCTTAAAAGTTCAGCTCTTTCTGGTAAAAATATATTTATAAGGGGAAGAGCTATGGAAGAAAGGTTTATTCTCCCATTTGTATGCCCCCCCCCCCGGTGACAGGCACTATTATATCAGGGACACTATAATACGGTCGGACGGATTGGATGAAAGGAAAAGGAATGGCAGACATGCTTTGTTATCAGAGAATTTTTATATCTCTAAGACATACAAATAAATATATATATATATATATATATATATATATATATATATATATAGGACACGCAAAGAATAATACATCACATATATCTACACAGCAAAGCAGAGTTTAAGGAGGAACAAAAGGAAAAGTCTTAAATATAATATGGAGATATTTCGCTGTCTGGAAAAGACATGTTTAGAACTCGAGATTAAAATGGGTCGGATTCATCTATGTCCCAGTTGAGGACATATTCCACGAATAGGAAACAGCGAGTCTTGGGTTTTTCTACAGCGAGGACTGCGAGCTGGAGTTACATTCTATATTTTCTTTCTTTTACTTTATGTGCCCTGTCTCTTCCGCACATAGGCGATCATGGGGCTCCACTTCCCCCTTTCGCTTTTAGCTCCGTCTTATCTTAGTTTCGTCAGTCTGCCCCCTAAATCGGACCACGTTGTCATCCACTTGCTTAAGACCGCCAGGTATGGGAAAGATATATTCCCAAAGTGAAACAGCATCATGTACTTATAAGCTGCTGGGGAGGCAGATTTAGCCCCTGCTAAAGAAAGGACCATTTCTTTTTGGTTTTTGCAAAAACGAACTGAATTTGACCGGCGTCTTCATCACTGTATGTAGTGACATCACTAAAGGGAGATAAGCACCTTTTGTTTTCGTTACACATTTGTTATTGTTATTCATTTAACATAAAAACAAATAAAGCATTATATCTTTTAACGTGCCTGTTTTTGTTTGACTTATAGCATAAGGAGAATATCAGAGAATGTTATAAGCCTCCTAAGCAAGAAAAAAAGAATAAGTATCAACTATAACAAAACAGAATATATAGTTGTTAGCAAGAAAATAAGTCCAATCTGTAAACTACATTTTGGAGGTATCAACTTCAAGCAGTACAGAATTTTAAATATCTTTTAACAGAGGATTACGGCCATCAAATCCGAACGCGGATTAGAATAGCAAAATATGAATTTCACCAGCTAAGCAAAGTAGTAAGAAGCAAAAAGTTATTTTTTTAAGAAATAAATGAAGACTGATGAACTGTTACGTAATATCGGTCCTCTTGTATGGCAGTGAATGATGGGCAATTTCTTCACAGATGAAGAGAAAACTAACGGCAACAGTGGTTCTGCTGAAAGATGATCAGAATACCATGAACGGATAGCATAAGTAACGAAGAAGTATAAAGGAAAATGGGAAAAAAGTGGAATACACTTAGAATCAGAAAGAGAAGCCTGAAATGAAACTGACGAATGAAATGGACTTGAATAAGTCATACATGATATGCCAAAGGCAAAAGGGGCCGAAAATACAATGGGCCACCGGTCTGTTCAGCTTGTGCGAACTGATGGCAGAACGAGAAAATTTACTAAGAGTTAAAGAAATAGTCAGTTATGAAGAGCTATGTTCGACCACGTGCGGAAGGGACATGACACATAGAGGTATGTCGATTTCGTTTTGAAACAAAAGCGAAAGAGAAAAATTCAGGTAGCAAAAATATTACAGACAAATTGAATAGTCAAGAAAAAATGTCTGAAGAAAACTATATAAATATAGGTGAAATACTAATATATTAATAAAATATTAATATGTACTTATATACTGATACAGTAAAACTACTGTCCTGTATAGAGAACTTTTATATAATAAATAATGTCAGCATAAAATCAACATTAAATGATGATTCTCTGTTTCACGACTTAAGAGATCAGCAGATACTGTTGGATGATTGCTTAAAGCTTTAAACTAACGACAATCATGTAGTGTTCTTTTCCATCTTCTCATTATTTAGATGGATGTACGGGTGATGCAATACATAACAACTTGGAATGCGAAATCGGAGAGCCGTGTTCGATTTCCATACACTTATGTGCAAATACCCTTGGGAAATGTATGAATCCATCTTAACTGCCTCCCAGCTATGGGTTAAAATATTCGATATAGAAAAATCAGTGTTATCTATAAATAAAAAGTTTTAATGCAATATTCAATCGCGAACAAAGAATTATTCGTGAAATCTCGAAAAATATGTTTCGGCTTTAAATAACCTACAAAGGGTTGATAAATCGTCAAAAATAAATCCATCAACAATCTCACTGCTTGTAGGCATGATGTTTGTTGAGTCGTTACTAGAGTAGGGCAAATGTTGAAATGCTGAATTCAGAGTTATCCTTGTTTGTATTCTGAAATCATTTCACTCCAAGCAAGGCAATAAAGCCACAAAGACGCAAGTGGTTTACTGAGCGTGAAATAATATTAGGAAAAGAAAACATTTTAAGGAGAAGAGACAATAAAAGAATTAAGAAAACAGGTGATAAATTATTAACACTGCATTTAAATTTTGAAGGTCAAAGGTGATTGAAAAACAAGAAGCTGCAAGAGAGATCCACATGCGAGAAGTGCGAAAGAAGAAACTCTTAGCATAGAAATTACGGTTACATCTACCCACTTTCAACTGTAAAAGAATGAGACCTAGCTGCCAGTCTAATACCGCGCTTAAGTTCGTAATGTCCCCTATACTTCTAAGGGAATCTACGCGAGTTGAGTGTGTGTATGAAGAAGAGATGGTTTCATGCCTTTTCCAAGGGTATATGCGCATAGGTGAACGTAACATCATCGGCTGAAATTTGAACTCGGCTCTCCGATTTCTCATCTTGGGCGGCTATCTGCTACACGAAATTTAGATTTAAACTTTCAACACGAACCACATATCTGCACATGCAGGTGTGTGTCTTTGTGTGTATATGTGTGCGTGTATGCCCGCAAGTTTTTATGCTTAATATGATAATCTCAGAAAAATGAGCATTCGCTTCGAATGAATTATAAGGAAGCTGTGTATGTGAAAGTGTGTGTGCATGAGTGAAGTCTCCGATTTCTAAGAAAGTAAATAGCATTCACGAAAAATGTAACACGGATGTAGCTGCTTCCTTTTTTGAGCAGTATAGTTTATGACCATATGTACAAATAGTAAGGGAGTGAGTGCTTTGAAAGCGACGCCTGCAACTAAGAGTTACTTTAAAATAAAGCTCCCCGGCGCTTTTTCTGTAATACTTGATATTCAACGCACAGTTGACAACCATACTGACATGAATGACTGAATTAATTGCTTGGTCTGCTGCTAGCAAAGTTGGTTTGCTACGAGACAATTTTTCTCTCCAGCATCTATTTTACATATTTTAAGTTTACTATTCATCCATAAAATCTAAATAAGAATCTGCAATGTTATTGTCCTGACAAAGGCATCTCGGCAATAGTCACTTTCTCACCGTCGTAATGTAGCTTCCTTGTGCCTTTTCTATAAATACTTTCATGGTAATTGTTCGGATGAATTTTGCTCTGTGTTTATGATTAAATCCTACTCAGAAAAAGAACAGATTGGTCCTATATTAGTGGTCCACAGGTCCTGTATCTAAATCAGATGAGAATAGAGAAGTTGTTAAACAAAATAACGCCGATGTTATGAATTTAAGCGCAGTACTAGATTGACAAAAATGGCTCATTATCTTACAGTGGAATTGGCTAGATGTAACCTCAAGTTCTAGGCTAGCAGTTAATTTTCTCGTACTTTTCGCGTGTGGAACTCTCTCCCGACCCCATGCTTTCCAGCTAAGTTTGATATTCAAAAATGTAAATGCAATTTCAATCGTTATCTACTGTCGTCTTGATTCCTTTTCTTTTATTCTTCTCTCTCCTTATAATTGTTTCTTTTTGCTTTATTTTTTCACACTCAGTTATAACCTTTTTACCAGTTGTAATGTATTTACTGCCTTGCTTGGGATGAAATTATAAAATATATACCGAATAATTTTGCTTTATTGGTTAAATTTGACTAATATTTATCATATACTTGTAATAACAAGAGCATAGACTCTCTTCGTTCTGAAGAAGTCTTTTGGATGACGGGATTGATTCCATAACATCCCTGCATTCTTCCCTCTTGGTCGTCTTCTCCCAGTCGGGTGATCGCTAGTTGGTTTGTTCAGAGGTAAGATGAGAACTTCATCAAAAGATGTTTTAAACATATCTATTTTATTAAATACACCGACGTGTACATTTTTAATTGGCCAGTGGGGTCGCTCTATCACCACTACTTGGGAGCAAGTTCCACACACGAAAATAACACGTCTGTATTCTTCGACGTGTAAAACTTAACTCCCTGAAAACACTTTCTATCTCTCTAACATTCCCACGCTCGTCTCAGCCAATCAAAACCCCTGCATTCTTCTCTCTCGGCCGTTTACTCCCAGTCGGGTGATCGCTAGTTAGTTTGCACGGAGGTAAGATGAGATCTTCATCAAAAGGGGTTTTAAAATTTATCTATTTTATTAAACACATCGACGTGTACATTTCTAAGTAGCCAGACGGGTTGCCCTATCACCTCTACTTGGCAGCAAGTTCCACACACGAAAATAACACGTCTGTATTTTTCGACGTGTAAAACCTAACTCCCTGAAAACACTTTCTATCTCTCTAACATTCCCACGTTCGGCTCAGCCAATCAAAATCGACATCCCTTTTTTTCTCTAGCAGCTGATCCCAAGGTCAGTCTCAGAAAGTCAGAATCAATTACACTGCCACTAAAAATAATAGTCTGAAACTATTATTTAACAAAAGTGCCCCGCAATTGTTTCACTGAGATAGCTGCACCACTGATGTTAGATGATGTTGAAATTGTCTATTAATTTAAATACTTCCATAGTTTTAAACATTTTGGAAATAGTTTATTTTATAATGTTATCAATTAAATGATTTGATCGATCTTGAAATTATGCTATTACAAGTGTGAAAATTTACAAATTATTTGTTTCCATTTACTTCTAACCTCTGATCTAAATGGAGTGTGTGGTATGTATCGTCAGTTGTAGTACCTTTGTAGCGAAGCGATCGCCCTAGCTTCACTCAGGTGAATTGTGCTGCAGAACTGAACTGGTCCACGGCCTACATTTAACTATCATCCATGGGTCCAAGAAGTCGCATGGGCACTGCTACGGTCACACCCTGGTCAACGGCGTTGACTAAACAATGTAATGGTAACCGCTCTCCTTTTCTAACCTCTCCACAAGCCTTCTGCCAAGCGGTCATCAGCTATTTGCTGACCTGGGCGTAAGATCTACGCTTCAGTGGTCAACGGCTTTAACAGTAAGCGGATGAACATCTGATAGTAGAAGCGGGGTAACCTAAATATCCCCAGTGGAAATGGAAGCGTCAAGGCATTGTCCTATTTTGCCTTGAATGTCACCATGAACGACAAGTAGTGGCGCAATATAATGTTGTTGTTGTTGTTGATGATGATGATGATGATGATGATGATGGTGAAATTAATTTTGTTGATGATGCTGAAGGAATTTCTGCATTATTTATAAATTGAAACAACTGTTGACTTAAAAAAAAAGCACCTCAAACAACCGAATTGGAAATGAATAAGAGAACAAACTTATAAAAACTGGATGTGTAGAGTCGAAAGTGCAAATTAGTTACCTCGATTATGCATGAACTGCTAAGATCGTCAACTTATGAGACTCATGCTTGGAGATAAAAATAGCATCCCCCCCCTAAAAATTGGCATTGTGACGCACCCTGCCTCCTGGGGAGGTTTGGTAAATACCGGGAGTTTATTTGATATCACGCAAGCACGCATGCATTGCAGGATGTCCAAATCTTGGGTCATCTTCAAGACCGTCCCTTCACCTCCGAAATTCAGCTGACCATTCATGTACTGTTGATAAAGCTAACTTCATCCTTTAATGTAGCAACCATGTGAACATAAATAAATCCTTTGTTTTCTGTAGGTACCTGATAATACCATGATGCCAAATTTTAGGTATTTTCAACAGAAATCGATATTGGTTACTTTTGAAGTCTTCTTTGAACAGTCAGATATCAGTTTACCTGAAAAAAATAATAGTTTTATTAATAAGAAAACCTTAAATTAATGCCTGAAAGATTTCACATCTTTAGGGTCAATCCTTCATAGTCAACCTCTCAAGTTTTCAGTCGACTCTTATAAAGTACTGTTGAAGAAATGAACTTTAATGTATTTGCACTTAAAACGTTTAAACTAATCTCTCTCCCCCCTCTCTCTCTTTATATATATATATATATATATATATATGCTAAACCCCAGATGAGAACCGTGATGCCACCATGCTCTATTCATCAATGAAAATACCTGCAGGGCCACTCTCAAGCTGAAATTTCTGCTGCAACTACTGCGCCCGTTTGCCTGTCCCGAATTGGATTTTTAGTGAAAGATGTGCCTGTAAGCGACCTCTAGAGATTCCCTCTTCATCTTGTTCTGCGAAGCGAAGCCATGATAATGATGATGAGTATATATATATATATATATATATATATATATATATATATATATATATATTGAACTTTATGTTTAATTTAAATAATTGTTAGGGATTCTAGTCAACAGACAGTCTCTAGCTTCATATATATTAGATTGAGTTAAAGGTGATTTCGTTTTGTAGGACAATTGTAATTGTCTTCCGAACTGACCATTCCCATATATATATATATATATATATATATATATATATATATATATATATATATATATATATATGACAGCTGAAAAATCGTGTTGCATACAACAATTCAGACTCAAATCACCTTTGTTAATTTTACTCTGAAATCAAGAGTTATTAGCAATTTTTTATGGCCAGAAAATAATTATTTCGTGTTGTATTATGGCTGATAGAACATGTTACGCATCGTGATGTTGGAAAAATGTCCAGGTAAAAACCCTGGGCCACCACCGAAAATTTCGCCTTTTTCCCCTTTCAATTTCACCTTTCGGCTCTTCTCTCAAGTCTAAAGGAATTTCTTTGTGGTCTTTACTATTATAGAAAATGAAAAAATCTCAAACTATGGAGACTGCAATTAATGCAATTTGATGTGGCATTTATTGGAACAAGATTCAGATTATCTTATTGAAGATACTTTCCAATTATTTTTTTTATTAGTAATCCCCAAATTACTTGAGAATGCGTGAATTTAGTTGAAGAATTTGTTTCTTCAGTTCCGAGCACAAACCTTCAATGATATTGAGATCAGGAATTTGTGTACCTGTCTTTCATACGTTGAACATGTTCAGCTACAAGAATCCTTTTTGTTGAACGTTATGTGTGCTAAGGCGCACTGTCATATTGTAAACATTCTTCATCTTGGTTGTCTGGCAATGGATTTGACCGTAGTAAACCAGTAAATATTTTAAGTTTCCACTATCTTTTAGTACTTTTCTTCTTTTGCCACTTAAGTATAGACTGACTCGGTTTCTTCGGCTTTACAAGCATCTGCAAGCTAATTAAAGCCAGGTAATATTTGTTAGCTTGTATGATTGACTGGTGGATGGGGAGATAATAATGATTCAGTGATACAAGTCTTAATTCATAGCTTGGAGTAGAGGGGGCGGTTTCATACCTCCCACAAGAGGGAATAGAATGAACCCAACGGAAATTGGAACTAGGCTCTCAGATTAGCAATTCCGAGCTATTAGCCATTACGCCACATGCACATTTAAGCTTACAGCACTTGGTATTTCCAAGAGGTCACTCATCTATAGACCAGACTCGACTTTCTTTAACTCCAGTGATCAAATGGGAACTGGTGTTTCAATAAGTCGAGTGAGAGAGATATGGAGACAAAGACAGAGAAAGCGAGAGAGAGAGAGAGAGAGAGAGAGAGAGAGAGAGAGAGATGGAGTGAGATAAAAAAAGAGAGGATAAATAATGGAGCAAAAGGTTGGTTGATTGTTGTCCAAAAGATTAGAAACCTAGGTAAGACAGAAGATGCAGAGATTAGATTATTTGGGAATTGGAGCTTCATAGCAAAAATTACTACATTCTCGGCAGTCTTAGACGCACTTCGTAAAGTGAATACAGTGAACTCAACGGATATTGGAACTCGCCTCTCAGATTAGCAATTCTGAGCTATTAGCCATTACGCCACCCGCACATCCAAGCTTAGAGCACCTGGTATTCCCAAGCGGTCACCCACCTAGATATAAAACAGCCTCGACATTGATCAAATGGGAAACCGGGTTTCAAATACATCTGGTGGTAAGCCGAGTGAGAAAGAGACAGAGAGATACAAAGACACAGAGAGAGAGAGAGAGAGATGAGAAAGAGAGAGAGAGAGAGAAATGGAGTGAGATAAAAAAAGAGAGGATAAATAATGGAACAAAAGGTTGTTCGAATTTTGTCCAATAGATTAGAGATCTAGATAAGACAGAAGGTGTAGAGATTAGACCATTTTGTGATTGGAGATTCATAGCAGAAATTACTACATTTTCAGCAGTCTTGGACACAGTTCGGGAATGTCCTATTCCAACGATGGACACAAAATGGATGCTGATGATGATATATCTATTGATTTTCACAATAAACCTCGCCTCTCCTTTGGCGTACCTTTTAGGTCAGAATCTACTCATTTGTCATAGTTACTCACAATTGAGGATCATTTTCTTCGCTTTTATATTCGACAGATCGATAACAGACTTTCCCTGTGTGATCGGCATATTTTTTTTTCTTTGAATTCCTTTTTAGAAGCTGGCAGACATGATTCATACTTTCGATTCGATTATTTACAGAGTTTCCCAATATCTCTCTCAATCCGTCTCTCTTTTTCGTCACACGTTTCTGTTACTAAATGCCCCCCCCCCCAATACAGAGACACTCAAAGTAGAGGTTTACTTAGAACTTTTTTTACAGCTGTAAAAGGATGGTGTAAGTACAGATTATGCGGACATATAGGATAGGTTAACCCAAGTCTTGAAGCGCTTAAAGTTGTAGTGATCAGAAAAGCATCGCAAAGTTGCGGTTTTCAGCAGGAAACTAACCGAATGGAACATCCTTTTTATTACTGGAATATAAAAGGGATCAGGATGTTTGAACCCTTTGTACGTGGAGGAAAAGGTCTTAGCTTTAAAGGCATAAAGTTTCCGCACATAAGAATCTATATCTTCTGAACTAATCCCCTGGAAAAGTGGGTGAGTAGTGATAGATTTGTGTTGTTTCTATTGTGGGAGAGCGAAAAATAATTCATCATTCACAAGGCGAGTTAAAACTTTTGAATCTTGTCAAGGCTGACAAGTGGAGATTGGGCAACACCAGACCAGATACGGCAGTGATACTACCTTTTTTTAGTCTGCTCTGACTTTTAAATAGAAAAGAAGGCTTGGAGAATTTAACACGGATATCATGCACATCGATGGTTAAGAAAATCAAGAGAACACAATTGGCAACTAATTTGACAATTTTGATTAAAAAGGTTGGATGATTGTTTAAAACAAATACAAAGAAGCAATTGTGGCAGATAGCAACAAAAAACGGAAGACGGTGGAGATAACAATTATACATCTCGTAAGATAATATAGCTTAGATGTAGAACAAGGCCGAAAGTAAAGAGCACCCAGTGAGGATTGAACTCAGTAGTCCGTCGTAATTGTTCTAGTGAGACAAGCTTGCTAACCATTACACCAAGTCGAGGTGCCCATTAGTGATTTTCGAAGCGTAGCTTAGATGTATCCCAAGGCCGAAAGTATGTGGCACCCAGTGAGGATCGAACTCACTACTCAATCGTAACTGTTCTAGCGAGACAAGCTTGCTAACTATTACATACCTCGAGGTGCCCAAATGATCCTCTAAGCTGGCTTAGATGTGGCACAAGGCCGAATGTACGGGGCATCCAGTGAGAATCGAACTCACTACTCATTCGTAATTGTTCTAGCGAAGCATCGTGCTAACCATTACACCATGTCGCAGGGCTCAAACACAAACACACACACAATGATTTTCGAAGCGTAGCTTAGATGTGGCACAAGGCCGAAAGTATGGGGCGCCCAGTAAGGATCGAACTCACTACTCATTCATAATTGTTCTAGTGATACAAGCTTCCTAACCATTAAACAACATCGAGGTACCCCTCGTAAGGGAATATATCACAGAGACAGAAAGCGAAACAGAATAAACAATATAGGAACTGACATGCTTATTGAAAATGTAGCGATATACAACGATAATCATTAAAAAGCAATTATATAAATATAACACTTTAATTGGGTATCGCACCTCAAACAATTTGCGGCGACAATTTTATCTCTGATGAGTTACAATTAGTCTGGGACCTGTACGGGTTGGGGATATATGATTTAGGGTTTTTCATAATCAACAGGAAAATATACAAACTTCATAAAAGTGGAATCGTTTGGTCATCTAATTATCCTACACAGTGAGCCCTACCAAAAATGGACATTAGGGGAGACTGTTTGATTTCCCATTTCCAAAGTCTATTAGCAGTTGTTTTTTTTTTTAGTCGGGGGGGGGGAGATGCCAGGTCAGGAATAATAACAATGCAGATTCTTCTTTGGATTTTAACAAGAATCTCTAAATATATAATAGGAGCACCAGACCAGATGCAGCTGCTACATTCAAAGCAAGGATGAACTGTAGACTTATAAATATGGAAGATAGATGCTGGCAAGAAACATTGTCTAGCATTAGACAGTGAAGCAAGTTTCCTAGTAGCGGACCTAGCAGCTGATATGATATAATCTTTCCCCTTCATGTCAGTGAAAAATGTCTTTCTTTTAAAATCATATGAACAAAAACTAGATTAATATCTTCGATAATGGATTTGTTTGTTTGTCTATTACGCCACATGCTGGTTGAAAATTACTTATTGATTGGGAACATTTACTTTTATTTATCTTCGATCAGACTTGACCAGAGGTTGTTAAACCATGAATAAACCAGAATAATCCCTTCAACTTCTTTCTCGCCATCTGAGATCATTCAACTGGGGTCAGTTTTTGATCAAACCACTTTTCTATATTCCATTCAAGAGAGGACAAAAGAACCCAACCAGCTTCTATATTTTTCTTTAAAAGTGACCAGTGATTCCAAAAATGTTACACTGCACAGAGAGAACCACATGCCCAAATGCACAAAACGTTAAGATACATAGACACGGATGAAAGTTTTACCTTATATAAATGCAGAAAAGGTTAACATACGCATAGAGAAAACGTTAGCATACACAGAAACAATTAACATACACGCAAACAAGACAAACATTTTAAATAAATTACCATAAACTTTTCGAAACAAAATTACAATATTTATCCGGAAAGTCGATCTCATCTATTACAGGATTTTGAATTTTTCCGAAGCTCACCGTAGAACGAATGTTCGCAAGCTTGTCTCAAAGGGATACTCCTGTTATATCTTTGCTCAGTTCATCACACTTGTAGTAAAGAGTCATTCAAAATTGTTAAAATATGGGGCGGTGTCATCCCAATATTATTCAACTTTGATACAGTGTCATCCTAAAATTGTTTAGCTTTGATACTGTGTCATCCTATAATTGTGCATATGTGGTACTGTGACATCAAAAATTTGCATACTGCTGAACTGTGTCATCCTAAAATTGTTTAACTGTGATACTGTGTCATCCTAAAATTGTTCAACTGTGACACTGTGTCATCCTAAAATTGTTCAACTGTGCTACTGTCATATTAAATATTATAAAAATATGGTATTGCATCATTACAACATTGTTAAAATCTGGTACTGTGTAATCCTAAAATTGTTAAAATATGGTAGTGTGTTATCCTAAAATTGTTAAAATATGGTACACTTTCATGCTAAAATTATGAAAATATGCGCATTACTAGAATTATTACAATGTTTTTTTACTATGTCATATTAATACTGTGAAAATGTGGTACTGTGCCATATTGAAATTGGAAAAAATAATAAGATGTCCTGCTGTATACAATACTTTCTTGCTTTACACACATGACCATACGCCATACATAACTAAATATTATAAATATCGACCCTCACTGTGTCTCGCACGTGTAATCTCACACAACAGTAAAATCAGTTTCGTAAACGGCTCCTATCTGTGGTTCGTTACATAGTCTTGCTGACCAGTATGGCCGACTTCAATCGACACGAGTGATCGAAATTTATGGCCTTGTCTCTTATGTTGTTAGACTTTCTAAATACCATAGATAACTCGATACCTCGCTGCAGAGGCGCAAATATAACACCCAATACTTCAAGCGATCTGCCAATCATACAAAATACGTTGCAAGGTGTGTTACTTGCATTCTTTTTCAGTGTTACACCATTTTTATCGAGGTGTATTTAAACTTGTTGAAGGAAAGGCTGATTATTTGGCAGTTCGTTTACCACGGTAAGAAATCGATTATTGGGTCAAGCAATTTTCGCAGAAGCCACACAAGCGATCTGTGGCGGGAAAAATAAAGAAAGAAAATAAAACAATGAATCACCATTAAACCAACCTCATTAACAAAACACATTTTCGCGACAAAATAATGACGACAAATTATTCTGTTTTATTTGCATTATTTATTTTATTATTCACACATTCTTTCTTTAATAATAAGACAATTCAATAGCTCCTTACGAAATTTTAAACAAAAATTTATGGGTCAGTTAGTTTTAAAACATGACTGATAAATATATATATATATATATATATATATATATATATATATATATATATATATATATATATATATATATATATATATATATATTATGTTTATACATTCTTTTATAGATACATATATTTAAGTAAATTCTCGGTTTATAAAGAAAAAGAGTATTAAACAACATTTATTGGCCTGAATGATAAAAAAAATATTCATAGAAAATATTCGTCCTCCGACAGAAATCGAACCTGTATTCTATACAGAACCGTCATATAGTCGGACGTGCTTTTAAAAGGCGGTTACATTTAACTGCTTCGACAGAAAAAGTGTGGGACCGAGATGCCAACCTAGTAGCACGCTTAAATTCATGCAATTGGGGACCAGTGAAAGTAGTTCGTAAGAGCAGTTACCATGAACATATTTGTAGAAAAGACAGAGGGAAGCCACATCGCGTCTGTGCGAAAGTGACTGTAGACGAGATGCCAGGTCAGGACCTATTATATTAAGTTTGTTTTTAACTGAAGTTAGGTGTTATTTCTGAGACCCGTTCGGTGTTCCACTCTTTCGTTTTTTCTGTTCTATTTAAAAATAGTTCCTTATTATACAGATTTAATTGTCAGTGTGATTCTGCAGAGATAGGACGGGCCAATCAGTGATTGAAGAACCATATGGGAGAGAACGTTCCTGCTAGTATGACTCCAGTCCAGGTAACTGTAGTCGATCTTTTAGGACGACCCAAGCAATGCATTACTCAGCTATTGGTTAACATCTTCTAGATAATCCTGACAGTTTTCAACAGTATACACATGACTGTTTCAGCATAGAAATCGTTGTGCTCATCATTAGAAAATTTCAGAGGCATTGTACATTAAAATACACCAACTGAAGTTGTGCAACCAAAAAGAACAATTTACCAAATCACTTTATTTGGACAGCGTGAGTAATATTTTTTCTCTTTTAAATTGACTGGAACTGTTATATTTTATTCGGTAGTTATTTTTGCTAATGAATTATTTTAGTCTTGATCCGTAATTAAATTTCGCCCAATTTCTACTATTCAGTACTTGTGAATATCGTATTCAGTCTCGTTCCAAATCACGCCAACGAATCATTCTGAAGATATGTTGGTCAATAAAATCCTTAAAGAAAATTATATATAAAAAACGAATATCTAAATTTCTGTATTATATAGTTTTCCTGTATTTCTTCTGTGGTGTCAGATCATTTTTTATATATATATATATATATATATATATAGGATTTCATCAAACTGATGACCTAACGGATGTTACACGTTACAAAATTTTTGTGAAATGCTGTTTGTTGATGTATAAAATTAGATATCGTTATATATATATATATATATATATATATATATATATATATATATATATATATATATATATATATTTGTCAAATAAGTTTCGTTAAAAACAACTAAAATATACTGGTCATTTAGCTTTTATTGTGTTCTTATATTTTGTAACTTCTGTTATATCTTCGCTAAGTACTTCCCACTTGAGATGTTGTGTTATATTAAATTGTCCAAAAGTGTTGTACTAAAATTGTAGAGGTGCGTTTCTCTGTTTGCATTTGCATATCTTCCAATGCCGGCAATTCCTTACTCTAACATGTATATAATTAAATTTCTTTTGCTATAGGGTAGGGTACCTAAATATCCGAGCATCAATAAGTTCCTCAATATTGTTGTTGTTTTTTCTATTTCATTAATTAAAATGTGTCTAACAGATGGAATAAATCCCACTCTCTTATGATTTCAACCAAGAGTTCCAAAACCAGTGACAGGTCAGATGTTGTTGTTGTTGCTGTTACACATTTCTTTCCGGGTCCCGCCCAGGGACCTAAGGTTAGAAATGGCATCATGACACTTTCCACTGACAAAAAAAAAAAAAAAATACATAGATAAAGCCCTTCGTAAAGTGTGGGCTGTACTTTTGTATCTCTTTGAGGTATGGACCTACAGGAATCCCTTCAATTAGTCTACTGCAATCTTTTCCAACCAATCCTGGGCTCCAACTACAACAGGGATTGTTGATGTTCCCATATGCCACATTTTTCGAGATTTTTATTTCAAGGTCCTTGTATTTTGACAGCTTTTTGAAGATCTTCAAAGATACATTGCAGTCAGCAGGGACTGCCATATCAATAAGGAGGCACTTTTTTTTGTTTGTGGTCTTTAATAACAATATCTGGGCGGTTGGCTTTGATTGTTCTGTCAGTGTGTATTGTGTAGTCCCATAGAATTGTAACAGGTCCTATCTCCGTAACCGGATCTGGGTGGTGTTCATACCATTTCCTTTCAGTTTTCTTCCCGTAGAAGTTGCAGATTATTATTATTATTATTATTATTATTATTATTATTATTATTATTGAGAAAGACAGAGAAAGAGAGAGAGAGAGAGAGAGGGTACAAATGTACGACGCCCAGTGTACCCATCATAACACATAGTTTTATATGTGTATACCAGGTAAATGTATTATATCCACGTGCCCATGATATTATGTCAGGTTTTGAACAAAGCCTGTGCATGGACTTGCAAGTGGTGCCCAGTTAGAAATAGCTTCAGGTCGGGTAACCACGACCACTCAGATGATTTCCGAAATCATTTCAAAAGTGATTTTTTTTCATAAGTCCTGTCGCAGAAACGAATTAAGTTAAATGACAGATATCAGTCTCGGACCCAAATAAAATACAAAAATAAAACCAAAACTAAAAACATCTCCCGTGTAGCGCTTTCGTTATTTTTAATAAAGCAGCCATAATATCATATGTTCTCAAGAAGGCCGAATAACAACGTGAGATGTGGGGCGTGAATATAATGAATATTTTCGAATACTCCCAAGAAATATCAGCAAAAGATGAAGCATAGAAATTAAAAGAAAAGTAAACAGAAATCATTTTTTTCAAAGTGTAGAAATAACATGAAATCCGCCAAGAATAACCAAATATATCAACCATAAACAATTCCATCAGCATTCAGCCATGTTTTATCTATGTTGTTCAATGTTGTCCTCTCACAGGGAAAATATGAGGAGAAAAATGAATTAATGAATGAAGTAAAAATGCCCAGATCCACAACAGAATATCTTAAAGAAATTCAATGTACGTGTTCGTGAAATTACGTACAGATGCGCGCAACAGGATGTCTGCTTTGCATTTGATACAACACTTCCCTATTCTATGCGCTTATATAAGCATGCATATATATATATATTCGTATTTGAAAAACATTTCTTTCTGAAATAGAGAATTAGCTGATTACAATGTAAGAAAAGAAAATAATGCGAAAATAAGACATGTACGGGTTCAGAATATTAGAAAAGTTACTAATTTTTTAATAATTATATATATATATATATATATATATATATATATATATATATATATATATATATATAATCTATTTTTTATTTGTTTTTGTATATTGATCTCTCTTTTAAATTAAATGTTACGGAACAATACATAAAAACAAATATATATATATATATATATATATATATATATATACAGATAGAATAGATGGATACACATACATAGATACATACAGGTTGTGCCCAAAATAAGTACTCACTCTTTAAATTAGATACAGTACACACACACATATATATAGTAAATATATATATATATATATATATATATATATATATATATAGTACACACACACACACGCACACACGCACACACACAGTCATATATATATACAGGTAAACTGAGAAGAAATGGAACAGAATTTCACTGTACGTAACATTTAATTTAAAAGAGAGATACATAAAAAAAATATATATATATATATATAGATAGATAGATAGATAGATAGATAGATAGATAGATAGATAGATAGATATATAGATATATATACATACATACATTTTACGACGTAGGTTGTCTCCAAAATAAGTACTCATTCTTTAAATGACATAAAATTCAATGTTTATTGACTTCCATACAAGTCGTCCTGGCTCTGGCGATAGAGTCCATTCGATAGCGCGGTTTTTGATCGTGAGATTGGAGGTTTTCAGGAGTTTGGAACAACCTCTTTACTCTTGTTCTTCCCCGGGTTCATTCTGACGCGCTGTCGTAACAAAATTCAACAGAACAATTTTATAAAAAATGAGTAAAAATACATTTCTATAGCAAAATGACAATCAATGCAAGACTAAAAAAATATAAAAATACTTATTTATAGTAGAATTTCCAACAATACATTTTATGACCTACAAGCTGTATATCTAAAATAAAGAAACATACCTTTACCCTGAAAGTATAAAATTATGTACAAAAAAATATCTCTAGTTGAAAGGATAAAATTACGTATAAAATATTTAGATCTCTATATTAATAAACGCATAAACGTTGATATGTCGCTAAACAAAATCAACCAATGAACTTGCATAGAACATTAATATTATTTTTTTTATATGCAAACTGAACAATAAGTGTTGAAGAATGAGAATTGATCTGTGAAATAGAAAGAGACTTTAATTCAGGGAATGTTTACTTATTTCTTCTTTTATGTGGATTCAACATAATACTTGGTGTATGGCGAATTTTAATTTCGTTTTTGGAATTTTGCTTTTAATATTTTGAATCTGTGATTGGTCAGCTGTATTTAACATAATTGTCCTTTATTTGGTTTCTGTATAAAATAATTAATGGCTTAAAATGCAGTCTTTATTGATTTGCAAACAAGATTAATGGTTGTATGAATGAATAACATTAGTAGTTAAGTGAGTACATTTTTAGAGGATACTCTATGCGTTTATATGTATAACTTAAATAATTTTAGTACATTCTAACGCAGGTACTTCTGTTTCTCTTGGTGAATCAAAGTGGAACAGAGAAAAATATCAGGTAATTAAGTCACTTCGTTATAATAAGTCTTTGGTAATTACGAAACCTGATAAAGGCTCTGGTGTTGTCATTCTTGATTTTCAAGATTATGTTAACAAGATGAAGATTATTCTCGGGGATTCTTCTAAATTTATCCAGTTAATCCCAATAGATAAATTTGATTCTACATTATCTATTTCAAAAACGTCTTTTCAAGTGAGCCACAAGTGGGAAATTGCCCACTGACATTTCCAATCAAATTAGACCCTCGGGTTCTATTCGTCTCCGTCTCTATAGTCCATCCAAAACACATAAACTTAGGGGTACAATTGAGACCTATTCTATCCATGGTAGGATTTTCCCAGCATGTCGTAGTTAAATGACTTACAGCCAGTTTTGGAACAGTATAACTCTTTCTGTATTAAAGATTCGTTTGAATTTTCCGACTTTATGCAGCGCTATTCGACAATGGATAAATGTATGTGCTCCTATTATATATATATATCTGTTTACCTATGTCTCTCTCGCTGAAACTATTGATAGATGTACTGATGGCTTATACCGTAATCTGTTCCCTCCTGTCATTCTGAACTGATGAAATTTACCACGAATACTGTTGAATTTAGTTTCGACGGCATTATGTATTGGCAAATTGATAGTGATTGAGATTTTTTAATCTCTTCGATAACGAGACTAAAGCGGACCATATTCTTTCGTCCTTGAATAATATCCATCCAGCTTTAAAGTTTACGCAAGAAAAGGAAATTGATTTTTTTTCTTCCTTTTCTTGATGTTTTGCTTAGCAAGTCTTCGTCGGGGTTTCTTACATCTGTTTATCGTAAACCGACATAAACGTCGTAAACGGTATGTATAACATTTGGGACTCTTTGTCCCGTAAAACGTGAAAGTAATTTAATTAAAAATCTTAATCATAGGGATTTGATGATCTGCTCTAAATATTTCTACATCTGTCAAATCAATGTATTTGAAAGTAATTTTTAATTTTCGCTTCGTCCTCTGTCTCACTTCTTCTCACTCATTCTATATATATATATATATATATATATATATATATATATATATATATATATATATATATATGGGGGGTGCGATGTATGAATTGTGTTTTAAATTACTCCAAAATGAAAGCAACACTGGCATCTCTAATAGTTATATTTACCACAATTACACAAATCATCATTGGCTTTAACGACGGCATCCAGAGACTACGCAGTCTCCTGCAACTCTTCTGGACGGTCTCCTTGTTGGTGACTAATGCCATAGTCCTTTCCTTCACTTCATCCTCCTACAAGGAGTTTTGTTGATCTCTCGGTAAAGTGCTCCCCACACATAATAATGAAGGGGTTGCAGTCTAGGGAGTTAGTTAGCTTGATGTAACGCTTGATGTGGTCACAGAAATTATCTGACAACTATGAGTAGGTTCTCCTGCTTGTGTGGCATGGCGCAGAGTCCTTTTGCCAGAGATAAGTTCTTACAGCAACCATACTCTTCACCCAGGGCAGCATTAACTTCTCCGGGTTGTGTTGAGTGAGGTCGTCACCAATAAATCCGGAAGTTCTTTTCTTATCCGAACGATCAAAGTGATTCATTTGTATCACCATTAGACTCATCCAACTCTTTCCGAATCCACTGCAATGTTCTCAGATTGACACCCAAACACTCTGAAATGTTTGCATTGAAGCTTCCGGCGCGAATGTCAAGCAGTACAGCATGCCGTTCCCAAATTTTAGGTGGAATTACGTTATGGTGATCTTTTTCTCACAGACGATGCCCACCTGACTTTACTATAACACGCAGACGAGTAAGTAAAAACAAACAACGTGTATGTGCGAAATGGAAAATATGAAACGGCGACAATTTACCCATCGCACCATCACAATCTCTCTCTCTCTTTATGTGTGTGTGTGTGTGCGTGTGTGTGGATTGGTGTATGTGTGGATTGGTGTATACGTGATTGTGCGTGTGCGTGGTTTTGTCTGGGCGCGCGCTAACACGCGTGAATATTTATAAATTTAAGTTATATCAATATATATCTCTAAATATATATATTTATGTTTATATATATATATATATATATATATATATATATATATATATATATATATATATATATATATATATGTATATATGTTTATGATTTAATATATTGATATATATATATGCGATATATATATCGATATATATATATGCGATGGATAAATTGTATCTGATCATGATGGGTAAAATATACCTGATCAATGACAATCTGATATATATATATATATATGCATAATATTAAGGTAACAAAAGTGCTCTCCCGTATATTCCAAACCTTCCAAACAGACATAGAATTCATTGAAAAACGTGACATAGAATTCATTGAAAAACGTGACATAGAATTCATTTAAAAATTTTAAATTACCATTCAAAATAGAAGTCTAATGTCATTACAGGACATTACTTTCAGATATTGATTGAGGTCAATCGAAAACTCAAAATAATCAAGAAACAGACATTTTACATTCCCTATCCGAGCGAATTCTAGTTGATTTGTTTTATATTTAATTACACAAAAATGCCATCGCTAAAAGTATTAATCCATTTCTTCTCCTCCATAAATAGGTTAAACTGCTGTTCCCACTGGGTTCTTTAAATTTCGTTGGCAACCATTCTATTGCAAAAAGAAATGGCAACCTACTATGGGAAAATGTTTCAGGAAGGAGACTTCTTGAATTAAACGGTGTGGTGGAAGCGATGCCAGCGTGCTGCACATTTATAGAATGCTTGGAAACCTTACCACGGGTTGACCCAAGCCTTGTGAGTGAAATTGGGTAGATGGAACTTATTTGGAGGCATCGTTGGTTGTGCTACCACTAAGTCACAAGTCATCGTGACCGAGGATTTGGGCGAACTGGCCGTGATCATGCAATGGATCACGCTAAAAACTTGCGCTCACACAGTCTGCTTGGCATACTTCCAGTACAAACTACGGGTGGCCTCTGTGGGTGTTGAACAAACACAAATGTGCCTGAGCAGACATCTGCAACAGTGATTGGCTAGCCAGCCTAGTAAACCAGAATCATCGGATAGGAGTGGACAGGCATATATATATATATATATATATATATATATATATATATGTGTGTGTGTGTGTGTGTGTATCTGTGTGTGAGTGTGTGTGTGTGTAATTATGTATATATATATTGCGATGGATAAATTGGCGTCTAAATTAGGCAAAATAAACACTGACATCTCATTTTAACAAATATATTTACTAAAATTACACAAAAGTATCTTGAAATACTAAAGACGAATTCAGAATCTCCTGCAACTCTTGTGGGTGATCTCTTTGTTTAATTTGGTTAATGCTGCCAAAATCCTTGCATTCTGTTCACCTTACGTGTTAAAGAAGTTTTCTTGATCTCTCACTCAACTGCGCCTCACACATAATAATCAAGAGGGTTGCAGTTGTGGGAGTTAGATGACTTCAATGTTCACTTTTATATTTATATTTACTGTGGGAAGTAACACAACTTAACTGATAATAGTAGGTAGGAACAAAGAACCGTGAGGAGGTTACCCAAAAAAAAAAAAAAAAAAAAACCGGTGTCGCACGTCCAACCTTCAACAGCAAAACGCGCCTGCTTTATACCGACCACGATTTGCATGCGAATGACGAGACAACGAGATTTCGCGTTAACTAACCGAGACAGCCCGGCATAAAATATGGGCGCCGCCATTTTGGTTCCTTTTACCGCTGGAGAACTGGAGTTTTGCACACCGCACAGATTCGCAGGCGTTTCCGAGGTAGGCCATTTTCACAATTTTCCACACATTTACATACGCACTATCTCTGATATTGAGCACTTTATCCCATAGCTTGCCTTAACTAAATTTCTATATATATATATATTTATATATATATATATATATATATATATATATATATATATATATATATAATAACTTTCCAATGCCTGTGTGTGTTTGTATATATATATATATATATATATATATATATATATATGTGT